CCTGTGACCTCATGCCCTATAAGGTCATTCTGCATCGCAGGCCAAAGGAAATCAGGAACTATCAGCATTTACCTCAGAGAAGTCACTGAGAGAAATGAAGGGCAAGTGTGGGCATATTTCATAAACTAGCAGGTGCTTGACCTCATAAAAAAGTCAATTATTAAAACTCGACATGTAGAATGTCACAAATAAGAAATATATAAAAATGGGTTCTGCAAAACATCTTCACTCTAAAATAAATCTGAGACAACTCGTAACATTCAGCTTCATCCAAATTGTAACACAACAATTTCACAAAATAGTACTAACACCTATTTAGTAAAAAAAAATAATTAGCAGAATTCTTTAGAAGTGTTTGGAACATAAAAGTGACTATGTGATGAGTGATAATTCAGAAAAGATTTATAATAGTTCTGTAAGTTAGTATTGAGGAATGTATGCAGTATTGATCATTTGAGTCCCATTACCATTTCAACAGGGATCACAATGTACTTATCCTTAAATTTCTCTATCAGAAATTAGGCATAAAAAATTTACATTTTTGTTACTTTATAAAGAATAAAATAATAATCCTGACTAGTTCAAGGACAGAGCTCCATTAACTGAAGCAAATTTCTCATGTTGCTCAATAACTGCAGACTTGGTTCTTAGTGAAATTTGTGTCTTTTCAGTGAAAACAGACTATGTCTCCTGTTTTCTTCCCCAGTAAATTAAAGTGAATTCCAAGGCAGTGTCAATAAGGAAAACAAAACTACAGAAATCAGTACAGGAGAGAAGGGGGAAAGCAGCCAGTATTCACTAGTCATATCATTCACTGTGCTGGATGGTTTGCTAAGTTGCTATTTAACGCTCTTGAGAGTCCTGAGAAAAGCAGCTGGCCTGGGCCCATTATTTTCCTTAGTTCTCAGACAAACCAGCAAAAGACTTTTTACTACATAATGCATCTAAACAAAATACAGAGGATCCCCTCAATATGGTCAGTTGACTTGAGTGGTCATTTCAGTCCCAGCTCACTCACTCATTCATTGTGAACTCAGAAAAAGTTACCACCTGCTTTTAAACCCCTGACTCCCCATCTCAGAAGATGAAGGGCTATCACAGTCCAAGAGCCCAGTATGAAAGTCAGCTCTTCAGGTAAGAGCATTATTTTGAGTTTCAGACAGTACTAATAAAGGGACTCTTAGACAAAGAGTAGTCATAAATTAGGTGTTACCAATATCACACAGAAAATTACTACATATTTTTAAATGCTTAAAATAATTACATTATAAGAACATTTCTGATGAGTAGTGTATTTACCAGATATATTGTTTAATATTTTGCCTACGTTAGTGATTAAGATTCCTGTGCTAGAAACAAGCTTTAAGTCTCTAAAACAATGCTTTATGATGTAACTTGCTATAATGATCACCTCTTCAAACATTAATGACAATGGCGGAGGCGACTTCACTACAAGCATGTGGATGGCAGGTGTGGGCTGTCCACCAGCTGGCTCTATAACCTTTTGATCCCTTCGGATGGCAAATCTGTTCAACAGCACTATGTGGTCATTCCTCATTTGTTGTATGCTTTCTTCTCCTTTAATACATTCAGAATCCCTATTCCTTTGGCTTGACATCCTTTTATTAAAACAGAAAACTCTCAGTAAAGCAAGCTAAAAGTAATTTTACACTTAGTCAATGTAAAAGTTTCAGAATCAATTAATATATTATTTCAAAGGAACATATGCTTTATTTATATGTAGGTTGCATGTTTGTTTATTCTTTCCCTAAAAAAACAAATAAAGTGACAAGATTAAAATCATAAGTAAATCACCATTCAGTTAATTTATGAAATACTCAAGGGTACTAGAAGTTAAAAAACAGTTTAATTACATAATTAGAAAGGTTTAACTCCGACCTAAGAACACATTAGTTTATGCTTATTTAAACAATGATAAGAACCATCAAAGAATAATTTTCTAGCAGTTATTTTTCTGCTCCGTTTTGTGCTGTTGTTAAACATAATTTGACTGTCAAGGACATGTCTGAAAGCATTAGTTAAGATGAACATCTATTTAGTCTTCCCTTTCTACCCTATTTAAGATCTAAATTTCTGGAGCAAGCTGGGTAGAATAAACATTAGGTAAGAGAATGAGTTTTGGAGTCTTAAATATCTGAGACACCTTCAGAAAATTCTTGAATCTCTCCTGACCTCAGTTAACTCATGAAAGAAAATGATGGCAACAGTACTTACTTTACAAATTTATGGCAACAGTTAAATAAAATAACACAGCAAAAGCCTGACAGAGAAGTACCCTATTACTGGTATTTATTGTCGTTATTTTACTTATACTTTATACTCTCTGTACCCACCAACAGACCTCTTACCTATAACATATGCATTTCTATCATTGTTTCAGACAGTAATTTGGGACCACACTATGTATTTACCTCATAGTTAACAATTTTTTTTTAATTAAAAAAATTATTTTTTAGTTGTAGGCAGACACATTATCTTTGTTTTACTTTATTTATTTTATGTGGTGCTGCGGATCAAACCCAGTGCCTCACGCATGCTAGGCAAGCGCTCAACTACTACTAAGCTACAACCCCAGCCCAGTTAACTTATTTTCTTGTTTCCAGGAATAAGTAAAATGGCATCTGCTACAATTACTAATGATACCTCTCCTCCAAAAATGTTAAGATTACAACACTGTACTACTAATTTTGGTGGGCTTTTTAGACCTTTATATGCAATCAATAATCAAAGCCTAGAAATGATCTATTCTACCTTATCCTATATTTAAATATTTCACTTTAATTCATTCCCCCACTTTACCCTAATCTATTCTAAATAAAAATGCTTTGAAAATGTTTCTAAATATTTTCACAATGACCATTTCTTTTTAAAAGAATCCCTAGTGATTTGTTACTATGTAGTTCTACCTTCAATGATTCAACAGCACCACACTCAGAGTTCATCCTGCTTTTGGGGATCTTTTATTCAATAAGGTTTATGATGAGTTTATCATGGAACTCTATTTCCTGAAATATGAATTTTATGGCCATAATTTATAAACAAAGAACATATTCCAGATTATTCAAATACTCAAAAGCAGAGCTTTATCATTCCAATTTTGTTTTTGTAACACTTTTATATTCTGGAAATTTATTTTTTAAATCTCTAGTTTTAAAAGAATCTTAAGCCTAATATCTTACATTTATCTAGAGTACATGAAGCCCTAGAGTTTTTTGGAGGGTGGGGTGGGGTGGGGACTGGGGATTGAACCCAGGGGTGCTCTACCACTGAGCCACATTCACAGCCCTTTTTATATTTGTTTTGAGATATTGCCCAGGCTAACCTGGAACTTACGATCCTCCTGCCTCAGCCTCCTAAGTCACTGGGATTACAGGCAAGTGCCACCACACTTGGATGTTTTTATACACACATTCCTTTTATTAGAATAGAGAAAACTCCCAATAAGCAAATAAAAACCAATATTCACTCAGTAAATATTCTGGTACTCAAAAAGATAAGAATTTTAACTGGAGCTGCTACTGCCAGATATTTTGGCTATATATGAAATCTGTATTTGCGTTTTCATACGGTACTTATTGACTTAACAAATTAATGGTACTGAACTAGGTATTATTCTATGCATTTAACAAACATTAACTCATTATAATCTTACAAAAACTTCTATCATATTGATTTCTTTCAATGACAAAATTGAGGCTAAGAAAGCTTAAGAAAAGTACCCAAGGTTACATCCCTAATGAAACATCTATGACAGTCACCACTGCAAACATCTGGTAGAATTAGACCAGTTATAATAGTTATAACCTTTCCTGAATTTTGCTTTCATTTTCCTTCTTGAATAAGCATACAGTATCTTGACATGTATAATGAAATGATGAATCAGGGTAAGTGTACTTTGAGAATAAAAAAATTATGATAGCAAATGTAACTTTTCTCCACTAGACCTTATATAATATGATTCTACCTGTTTTGTTTTGTAAAAAAAAAAAAACTTAAAACTTCAACAATTTTGCCAATTCTTCAAATTATACTCTTTTGAAAGATCTATCAATCAAAATCTTTGCTAATTTCTTCTTTTTTAATTTATTGCTTATTATGGTTTAGATACAAGTGGTCACTAAAGGTTATTGTGAGAGACAATACAAGAAAGTTTATAGGTGAAATGACTGGGTTATGAGAACCTCAACCTAATCACTGTATTAATCCACTGAGAAGGATTAATGGTGGTAACTGTAGGCAGATAGGGTGTGGGTGGAAGAGGTGGGTCACTGGGGGCATGTCTTTCGGGTTTATATTTTGTCCTGGTGAAGGGAGCTTTCTCTCTGTCTCTATGTCTCTGTCTCTGTGTTTCTCTAATTCCTGATGCCCTGCCCTGAGCCACACACTTCTGCCATGATGTTCTGCCCCATCTCAGGCCCAAAGCAATGGAGTTGGCCAACTATGGACTGAACCTCTGAAACTGTGAAGCTCAAAAAAACTGTTCCTCCTCAAAAATTGTTCTGGTCAGGTCTTTTGTTTACAGCTTCAAAAAAGCTGACTAAACACTGCGCTCTAACTCTACCAGATATTTATTACTTTAAGAATTCCTAATTCCAATCTCAACTTGCAAGCTATCTTGCCATTGCATACCAAATCAGTATAGACCAAGTTGGCATTCACACAAATAATAATACAATGGCAGTGAAAGACGCTAGTGTTAAACAGACTAGGATTTTTTAAATTGGAAATTAATTTTATAATAGTCAGTTCACTAATGAATAGTGACATTAACTTGTGCTTTTTTTTTTTAATTACCAAAATCCAGATTCAGAAAATTAAACTGAGAAGATTCAGAAAATTAAATAGCAGAATCTGAGGATCTCTCTTTTCACTTTCAGGTGAACTACTCACTTTTGTTGATAAGTAATAGCAAATATATTTGTAAATGTTCTTTCTACATGTGCCTGCAAAGCTTTGTAGAAAAGCATGTGAACTCTTACGTGATATGACGTGGTCCATATACTGAGGTAAATAAGGAGCCCAGGCATCGATGGCTTCCTTTCGTCCTGCCTGCTCAATTCTCCTCAGCTCTGCTAGAAGCAGGGCCTGGGCAGCTTCTCTTACCTAAAGGAGGTCACAAAAATAAGTGTAAAGAAAGAAAAAAGGTCAGGTGGTGAGGTGAGTGCCTATAAATTAGAAGTTTCCTAGGAAATAAAGTTATAAACCAGAAATCACATTTATTTACATGAGAAAAACAACTAATCAAATAATGAATTAGCTATCTAAGGTGCAATAAATTGTATGACAGTGTAATTAATAATTTGACTAAAATATATTGTAAATATATTTATTTAATCAGGCTTTGAGTTTAAAATATTCATTTTCTAAAAGATTCTTGCATTCTAATCTAGCATTTTCAAATTCTACATTTTCATATAAATATTGTTAAAAGTCACAATTAAAACCATTAAATTTCTCTCATAACCTGAAGAAATTTAATGATATCTACTTAATGTCTTTATACCATATATATTAAATAGGGGCTGTTGATACAAACATGTACAAGGCCACATGATTCACATTTACCTAAGTTGTGAATAACATGTCCAATACATTCATGTGTAAGAATATAACCTCTGTAAGTTCTAAAGATGGAACTGAAAATGCAGTTTTCAAATCATATCATTTCTCTTTCATTGTAGTATACAACTTTAGTTTTAATTTAGTTTACTTTTGCTTCTTTGGTATAAGGTCAAAGAAGCTAATCAATTATTAGGTGATATATTAACTATTTAATTTTGAAAGAATGATAGCAGCATCTGAATAAGGGTTTGAGCAAAAAAAGTTATTTTTAAGTATAATTAGCTTTTGAAGGGAATTCTAAACCTATGAAAATTTTAGTACGAGGTTTAGGAATCGCAAATATTTTATACTCATTCACTGCACAGTGAAATTTCAGACAACAAAAGACCATAGACCATAATGACAGTGACCCATAAGGCTATATCTACTGACAACATTGACATCTTAGTCTGTATATCTTAAGATGTTCACACAAGGACAAAATCACCTAGTGACACATTTGTCAGAATATATCCCCATTATTATGCAATGAATGACCATAATTATATTGAGAAAATTAAAAATCTTGAATGATACAAACTGCTAGAGCTATATAAGTCAAGTGGCATAGTAAGGAAAATTTCTACAAAACATTTCCAAGTTTCTGGTGATATTATACTCCAAGTAATATCCAATAATGAGTAAGTCAATTAACACAAAATAATGGCTACCATTTACTGAGATCCTACCATGTGTCCAGCTCTTACCATTTTACTTGCATTACCTTATTTGATCCTGATAGCGAACCCATGAGGGCTACATTCTTATCCCCACCTTACAAATGAGCTTCAAATAGGGTAAAGTAAATTGTCTGGGACCACACAGTTAATACTTATTGGGAATAATATTCAAACGCAGTTCTCTTCTAATTTTAAAGACCTTCTTATTTTATTATACATGGTACCTTCCACTGGACCACAGCTATTCAAATGGAATTTGATTGACATGATTATACTGAATGTGTGATCTTGGGGGAGGTAGTTATATGTATTTATTTGTGTACATGTGTTCATGATCTATAATAAAAACTAATACTTAAGAAACAATTCTATAAAGGCTATGAAACTTTTTATCAAATAATCACAAAATTACAAAAAGAAGCAAATGAACAGGCTGGGGTTGTAGCTCAGTTGGTAGAGCACTTGCGTAGCACGTGTGAGGCACTGGGTTTGATCCTCAGAACCACATAAAAATAAATAAATAAAATAAAGGCATTGTGCCCATCTACAAATTAAAAAAAAAATAAGCAAATGAACAAACAAGCTGTAACATTACACTTTAGTCTATGAAGTAAGACAAAAAATATGGAAATTCTGAATCCAGATTTTCTATCACACAATAAACAGGTAATAAGATAAATGAGATAAATATCAACCATTTATTTATTTTGAATTTACATTTGATCAAGACTTTTTAATATCTTGGTTTTCTATTCTTATTCCCTCAACATTACCTCCAAGCAACGATCCTGCCATCTTCGAGCCAGCATTTCTAGAAGTGGAGGCCTAAACTTATCCAATCCCAGCAGGTCTGGCAGCATAACACAATGCATAGCAGCTAACTGACTCCATCCTGTTAAAATGTGACATGTTACAAATGCTTTAAACATTTTGGAATTCCCAAAGTCAAAAGTTTTTCTTTATATACATATATCAAAAACAAAACAACAGGTAGTCCCCTTAAGTTATATTATAAATGATTTAAATTTAATATTAGATGTTTTTATACAAAGAATGATACCAAATGGATTTTATACCTAAATCATATACTTGGCTCCTGTAACTCTCAACATCTTAAAACAAATAAAAATAAATTTCCACAAAAAGTATAACCAGATTCACAAGAAAAAAACACATTTCTAAACAGATTTTCTAAAATAAAACATGTATTAGTGGATGGGAAAGGACACGAATAAATACATATAAGAGCTATATATGAAACTGTTGTCAGTTAAAAGGGCATCGCAGATATCCAAGGACAGGTTTATGTCACTTAGGGCATGGCCATCTGTGCTGCCATTGTGTCAGCCAAGAAAGATGTCTTCCCTTCCCTGTCTGAGGGCCTTTAATTAAGGTAGTTATTGATCCCACTCCTTACAAAATGGATCAGATATTTAATCACAATCATAACTGAAATAAGCAACGTAATGCCAATTTTGAGAGGAAAAATGAATTCAGAAATTCCACAAAATAAAAATCTGCAATCCAAAATGTATAAAGTCTTAAACATCATTAACTCTGGCTATAGGAATAAAAGTTATATTTTCCAAAATTCTAATTCACAATATAGAATCTGATTTTATCAAACACTATATATACCACAATATTTTATTTTAAAGTACTAGTATACAAATTTCTCAATTACTTTTATCTATTTTTAAAATGTCTATAATATTTTTGTACATACAATAAGTGCCTCATTCTTCCAAAATTATGTAGGAGGCCATTATTAATCCACAATAATTACCATTATTTCCTGATAATGGTAACATCTAAAGACAAATAATAAAGAATGGATTAATTATAACTCACAACGTGAGTTATAATCCAAACTGTAGTCTTTAAAATAATGACAAATATTTTCCTATAAATCTCAAAATGATCACTGGGATTATTCAAATAAGAGAGAGAGAGAAAGAGAGATAGACAAGTTATCTATATAAAGATTTAGCCTTTCAGTGAGGAAATTCTCATCAACTGATAGAAAATACATAATAACATTAATTTAAGTAATAGGCCCATGAATTTTGGATAATAATTTATTTTACAACACAGGAATATGTGTGTATATGTATATATACATACCTATATTACTACTTATTAATTTCTTGAATTAATTTAATGTTTCATATTAGTATGTTTCATAGAAGTATTGATGAGCTAAATTTTAATATCATGATTCTCCCAAGCCCCAAAGTCTAACAGATCATTTTAGAATTAACAAATGTTTTTCAGAATAGTTTAGTAAATATAACCCTAATTATTTTTACTAAAACTCAGTCCTGAGATACAAAGCTTCATATAGTTTTATGATAGGGAAATCAAAAACAAAAAATGAAATTATACTGTTAAGTGCCCATATTCTGTTTCCAAAGGAGAGCTACCTGCAACAAGGGCTCTGTATTTCACAGGTACTGCAACATTCCTTCCATTCAAATGGGCTTGTGATATAACTGTTTAGAATCAGAATCATTCTGAATTATATTTTAGATTTTCTGAATTTTTTTGTATTATACAATCTGATAAAGATTGAGACCCCAACAGACACAGTGAATACAATACAGAACTCATGAGTTCCATTAACTTCCCAGGCATTATAAATAATACTAGATGTGTCTTGGGGAACAAAGGTTTGCAGATCCCATTCACACTTTTAGAGTTCCAAAATTACTTTCCATTGTGCCACTAGAAAGGAATAATACAGTGACCCAATTAAATTTATACCCTTAAATTAAGAATGTCTGCCATAACCTGAAGCAAAAATAGTGATAAAATAGGTGAACTCCCATCAATCCATAATCAATCTGAAGAATTTTCAAATTAGAATGTAAATTGGGAGACTCCATCACATCCCCCTCTCACCAGAACATACAGTTGAGTAAAGATAGCAAAGTATATCTGTCACAGACTAATGATACATGGGAAACAAATTCATTAGCACTAATACTTGAGATAACATGGCAAATACCACTATAAAAACGAATTCACCTTTTTACGTTAAATTCACATCAAAAGTAGGAACTCTGCACTCCTCTAGCAGCATTCTAGATAATACGTAACATGGTTTATGACAGCCAGGAGTAACATAACATTTTTATAACTAGCTCTTATTGACATTAGCAAATAAAGTTATAAAATGGGAACTTTGGGATTTCATACATAACAAAGCAGATGAATGTATAAATTAGATAAAAGGAACATGTCTATTAGGATAAAGCATAGATTGAATGAAAGTTGTTAGAAAGTTGAGAGAGAATACCTTCATTTACTAAGAAACAGGTATGTAAAGCAGGAGTAGAAGCAGAGTCAGAGCCAGAGTGATCAGCGTCAGACCGAGCGGAAACGACAGGTGCAGCAACTTGCAGAGGAAAATAGAAGAAATAAAGAGGAGAGAATTGAGGTACAGCAGTTTCTGAAAAAAAGCTCAATATTAGTGAAGAATGAGAAACAAAGTTGGCAAAATATAATGAAGATAAAACTGAAAAATGATGTTTTAATCAGAAGAGCATGATCATAAAAGATAATAGCAGGGAAATGATATATTTTATCAAATGGCAATCATAGTGTAGCTCAACTTCCTCTTAAAGTCAAAATGTTTAATATTATAGACAAATGGTATATCAAATATTGCAACACATAGCTCTGACACAATGAAGGTTATAACAAAAAAAGACAACATATTAAGATTTAACAAAAAAGTACACTTTTTGAAATGTATCACATAATCAGAAAGTTTATGTTGATCTTCACATTGTCAATAACATTTCTCTAGTTTATTCTTAACATTTGTGTGAATTATCTTTAAATATCTCAAACCAATACTCAAATGATTTCATCTCAATTTCCTACTCATTGTATAAAAACTTGATTTACCATATACCATAAAAATATACATACTGCATTATTATGTTTACTCATTAAAAGAATTTTATTATAGTTTCACTAACTGGAGTTTTAAAATTTTTATGATAAAATAAACACAACAAAAATAATACTTGTGAACTTATCATTCTTATAGAATAGATGAACCAAACCCATCCCCCTCAAAAGCAAAAAAAAAAAGTTATGTTGCCAGGAAAATGTTTCAGCTTAAATTATCATATGAAAAAGCAAGAGGACCACATGGCACACACATTCTACAACTGGAGGTCAATGTTAAGATTTAGAGGTCACCATTTGACACTTCCTTCCTATGGAGAAATTACCATATGTCATGCACAAGCATCTTCAAATTAATCCCTCTCCTTTCTTCTGTCATTGAACAGCAATAGGTTTGGGCTCCTGAACAGATTAAGCATTGTCTGCTGAATGATATGTTTGCTTTTCATGCGGTGAAGTTCTTTTGTGACAATAGGACAGCTGCATGAAAACAACTTTTTCATAATTTCCACACGAATGCATCATAATGTCAATCAGGCACGTGTGAGGTAAACAGTAGAACTAAAAGAAGTCTGTGAACAGTAACAAAGGAGGGAAACTTAACTCCATACACCCTAAGCAGCACCTTATGCACACATAAGATTTTATCTGGGAAACTGATTCTTTTTTATTATGACAAACTTAGTTTTTGTTCCTTATAAAATTATGATTATTTTATAATGTTAAACTTAACAGTTGCTTTCAGTCATGTGTCATAAGATCCAAGAACTTCTTTATAATCTTGCAAAGAAATCACAAATATTTCTGTATTCCATTGCATAATTTTATTTTTATCAGCATATTTAATTATAATTTTAGTTCTATGACCTATAAAATATTCACCTTTAAAATCTTTAAAAATCTCTTGCATCACTATCATTAAAAAAAAAACTGTATTCGTACCACCTCACAACTGGAATGCAGAATTTAGAATTACTTTCACAATCAATTGAGAAATTAAACTCCATTACAGCTTTTACAACTGTACTTACATAGAAAAATCAGCAACAGAAATTAGGAGGAAAAAAAATACTACTTCCTAAAATACAATGCTCCCTATTTAATGAAAAGTAATAAATCTGAAGTTATATGTGCCACTGAATACTGAAGATTTATACCATAAAACATAATCAATCATTTGATTTCTTAAAACAGAAAAACTGTAATGTCACCTTACAATTGGCTTCTCTTACTAACGATTAGCAAAACAAGGAAAAACAGGTTTAATACAGGTTTAAAATGGAGACAAAAAAGGCACAATTCTATTGTATGACCTGAAGTGTGCTTTAAGAAAGTAATTTAGCAGCTAAGAGCCTATTCAACTACTTACTATTACATAAAAAGATAGATGAAAAAAAAAAAAACTTGTGTGGTGTATTTCTATTCTATATCTAAATAGATAGATAGATAGGTAGATAGATAAAAAGACAGACAGACAGACTAATATCTGCCTGCTCTGGCTTCCCTTTAAACAGCACATATCTATGACCTCACATTTATAATATCCATGCTTTTTATTTTTAAACAGGTGCATTTCAGTCTTCATTTGAGTGATCCTTATCTCCATTTTTCTCTACTCCCATTACAATATTGTGTGTGTGTGTGAGTGTGTGTGTGTGTGTGTGTGTGTGTGCGTGTATGACAGTTAACATATTGTGAGTGATGAGTGCTCTTTACTTATTGGTCTAAATCTTATTAGCCTTCCAGTATATAAACACAAATAGCCCTTGCATTTTTCAGAAGAAAAAAAATCTAAAAACCACAGAAAACAAAAATGCAATGCTTAAAGAAAGGAAGTTTTTCAAAGTGTAACACTAAAAAAATGAATAAAAATATTAAATGATGAATCACCTTAACAAAGGTGTTAATAAGACAATGATACTTGTGTGGTATGAGTGGGGGAGAGGAGGAAGAGGAGGAGAGTCATAGGAGGAA